GAACCTGGGTGAAGACCTGGTTGGCCAGCAGTGTGGCAAGACCTGGGGACTCTTGGGCCCAGAGTCAGTGACATAGCCACAGAGGACTAGAGGGGAGAGTGAAGTGTCCTACTCTCTTTTAAGGGAAACTCTAGTCCAGAGGATATAAGTCTAGGTTTCCTGTGGGGAACGTGCCTCTCTCAGACACAGTAAGTCTCCTGCCAACAGAAAAATCTGTACGTGCTCATGAGCAAAGACAAAAATGCCAACAGGGACAAGGTACATCAACAACATGGGCCCTGCTCATAGACAGCCATACCAATATAGACCCTCAGAGACTCGGCTACCCAAAAGCCATTGCTGTTGAGTGGGTTCAGAGGAGAACTACTCCATAGGGTTTCTGACGCTGTTAATCTTTATAGAAATAGGCTGCTACATGTTTCTCCTGAGGAACAATCACCAGTCACCAGGACTCCTTAGATACCCAGCTATACCGATGTATATATCCACATCCATCCATACAAACACAGATGACAAAACTTAGACACATATGGTGACATCTGCTCCTTCATCTAGCTGTGCTTGAAGGTGTCCCTACCCATAGAGTTTTCCCTTTATTGCTTGTGCCTATTTGAGTTGAATATTTTCAGCTTGCAGCTCAGAGTCTTGACTGGTACAGATGAATTAGATTTTTGCCAGGTGAAAAGGATTGAGAAAGGAGGCGTCCCAAGATGCAAGAACAGCATGTTTATAAACTCGTGAAAGCATGGTTAGTGGTATACTATAAAGTATGTAAGACAGTACTGGCACAAGATTTAAGTCAGGTAGTGGGGTTTGAATTTAAGGTGTGGCGCTGTGGGCTAATGTGCCAGACTGCAAAGCCATTTGAACTGCAAGGTTGGCGGTTTAAGCTCACCAGCTGCTCCTCGGAAAACCTATACAGGGTCGCTATGGGTCGGAACTGACTCGACGGCACTTAACAACAATTTAGGAGACGAGTCCGTGGGACCGATAGCTTATTCTTGATCAGGGGTAGTTCCAAGTTCAGAGCTGTATGATGGGAGGCAGTGCATGGCTGAATGAATGTTTTCGCCATAGACCTGGGGGATTGGTGCAGTGAGAAAAACTGAGGCTGAAAGAAGCGCAGCTCTTGGATCGGGATTCCACAACGCTTCCAAGACACAGTTCAAACTTGAACCTCAATCCCCACTTGTCGGGCGTCCTAGTTCTGGAATTACAACACCCGGAATGCTCTGCGCCTTGCGTGTAAGCTCGTGTCCCTCGTGACAGGCCTCGGTTCCCAGCCTGATTATTGGTCGCGCGGACTGTTTGTCAGAGTCTAGTAGGGCTCTGATTGGTTGAGTCTCCGCGAAGTGCCCTTGAGCTGGTCCGCGCGCTGCGCTCCCTGCAGGCACCATGGTGAGCTGCGGTCCTAGGCCCCGGCCCCGTTGCGGGGAGGGTCTTGCGGGACTAGGGTGCAGCCGACGGGGTCCAGGGAGACGCCAAGTTCTGGGGTCCTTCTGTGAGGGATAGAGCCTCTGAGGGTTGGGGTCGCTCCTAGAAGTTGTGGGCCCTTCTTGGCTTGGGTCTCCTTACGGAGACGAAAAGTCTCCGAGAGTCCGAGGGTTCTGGTAAATACCTGGGGACACTTTGGGGGAGTTGGGGTCTTATTGGGGGGTGGTCTTGGGTTCCCTTGCGGACATTGGGAACCCGAGTTTGTTTGGAACCCGATGAGTGGGCCTGGGGTCTTCCTAGGGCTGGCGTCCCCCATAGGGCCGAGATACCAATGGAGCTTGGAAGCCGATGATGTCCCTGAAAGTTCTGGGAGGCCTTGTGGTTATTGGGGTGTGCTGAAGGGCTAGGGAGCGCCCTGGGGGAGCAGGGCTGGGGTGTGGGTGGCCCCAGGATGGGCAGATACAGCACAGCCGGAACACCCAGCTTTCTGGTGTCTCGGGATCAAGCCCATTGAGTTTATTCTTCAAATTTGGTACCTTTGGTTCAAGCTGGTGCCAGGTGAGGGCAGGGAGACCCCCTCCAAGGGACCAGGCCTGGGCTTGGGGAGGATGAGACTGGGGGCTAGATAGTGCGCCTGACCCTGCCAGGGATGAAGGGGCAGCAGGCAGTGGAGGTGGTATTGTTGGAGAGAATTGTTGAAAGTAGGGGAGTTGTTTGGGGGCTGGTAGAGGAGAGGTATCAGGATTCCAGACGCTGGAGGAGGGGTGGAAAAGTGCCCTGAGAACCAGATGAGGGAACTTGGAGTTGATCTTAGCAGGTTTTGAAGCATGTAGGTCCATGAAAGGGCATTGAACAGCGGGGAGGAATGTAGCTGTGAGGTCCTGAAAGATCCAGAGGGAGACAGGATGTTTAAAAAGGTGACAAAATTAGTAATGAAAACAGATGCATCACGTTCACTTACGTTAAGCCTTTACCTGAAACAGATAGTAAGGTTGGCTTTCAGGTAGGCGGATAGTGGGTCTGCAGGGTGAGGAAGGGGAGCTCGGGATGGGGAGAGGAACAGCTTTGAGTCTACCTTGGACGTCTGCTACATAGTGGTGGTGGTGGTGGTGGTGGTTATGTGCTGTGGATTTGGTTCCGACTCATAGCGACCCTGTACAGGGTTTCCGAGGCTGTAAATCTTTATGGGAGCAGAAAGCCTCATCTTTCTCCTGTGGAACAGCTGGTAGTTTCGAACTGCTGACCTTGAGGTTCGCAGCCCGATTTATGACCACTACACTATCAGAGCTCTTTCTGCTACATACTGGGCACCAGTAAATGAAACAAAGCAGGAACGATGCCAGTTCTAGATGATAAAAACTGAGACTAAGAGAGATGGTAGCGTAGTGGTTACGAATTGGGCTGCGAACCTTAAGGTCAGCGGTTCGAAACTACCAGCCACTCCGCGGGAGAAAGATGAGGCTTTCTATTCCCGTAAAGATTTACACCCTTGGAAACCCTGTACAGGGTCGCTATGAGTCGGACCCGACTCGATGGCACTTAACAACAACAACAACAAGAGAGATTAATACTGAAAACCCCTAGCAGAGGTTTGAAGTGAATCCCCGTCTGGGCATCAGCTGGTGCTAGTCGGTGTGAGCTCAGGGTAAGGCAAACTGGCCGGAGGCTCTGGAGGTAAGACTGGACTGGGTCGGGATGTGCCCGGCAGGGGCCCCTAGGTAGGTCTAGGATCACTGTGGCCCTCATTCTCCTTCTGGAGATGGCTGGGGCAACCTGAGCAGAGAGGCCTGCTCCCCTTACCTCCCAAATCTGGCTTCTGTATAAATAACCTCGGTTCTGTGAGGTGTGCACCCAGCTTGTGCTGAAAGGAGTTGGTGACCGCTGCCCATGCTGTCCTCCTCAGGCGGTGCTTGGAGTGCAGTTGGTGGTGACCCTACTTTCGGCCACCCTCATGCACAGGCTGGCTGCTCACTGCTCTTTCGCCCGTTGGCTGCTCTGCAATGGCAGGTGAGCCTCCTGCGGTAGGAGCCAGGGTGTGGAACTTGTGAAAGAGGGAAGCAGGGAGGAGTCATGGGTGGGCGGAGCTCCAGACCTTTGAAAGCCCCGTTCACCAGCCACCTACCTACCTCTCTCTACCACAAATGTTAACTTCTAGCCTTTTGTCCTGGTTTGGGATTCTAAGAATGAAACCATAGTGGAAACTATGACCTCTCTCTCCAGAGACAGGGGCCTGTCTGATTCCCCAAGAGAGTTAGCAGTTTTGGGGTGTCCAGACCCCACCCTCCTCAGCTCGGTCCACTGGAGGCTTCAAGGCTTGGCCTGCTCCCCTCTCTACACCTAGCCTTCACCCCATGGACTTCACCATCCATTTCTCTGTCCTGGGAACTCCCGCCCGACCTGCCTATAACCTGGGTCCCAAGTTTGGGGATCACTGCTCTGAGTCCTTGCTCCCGAGCTTCTGTCTGTCCATCTTCCTCTCAGTTTGTTCCGATATATGCACCCATCTGAGGAGGAGCTCCGAGCCCTGGCAGGGAAGCAGAGACCCAGAGGCAAGAGGGAGCGGTGAGTGTACTGGACCCTGGGATCCCAGCTGAATTCCACCAGGACTGGGCACTCCCCACCCCCCCCATCCCTGGCATGCATGGCTCTGTGCACTAAGGGCATTCAAGGAGCCCTTTGTCATTCATTGTTGTTGTTAATACCCACACTGTGTGGGGTTTCAGAGGAGCAACTGGTGAGCTTAAACCATGGACCTGGACTTTGCAGTCCAGTTCATTAACTCACAGTGCCACACCAAGACTTCTCATCATTCATTGTTGTTGTTGTTAAGTGCCATCGAGTCGGTTCCAACTCATAGTGACTCTGTAGGGTTTCTAAGGAGTGACTGGTGGATTTGAACCACTAATCTTGCCATTCAAATCGACCTGCAGTCCAGCACCACACTAGGACTCCATTTATTTGTGCTCCTCAAATTAGCACCTAGCATAATTGGAATCGAGTCCTGGTGTGGCGGTATAGGATAACCACAAGGTCAACTGTTCAAACCCCCCAGCTGCTCCTTGGAAACTATACAGGGTCACTATGAGTCTGAACCAACTAGATGGCACTTTAACAACAATTATTGGAACTGCACTAGGGGCAACCCTGTGGGTGGTGGCACCTACACCCTCTGGGGCAAAGTTCTTCCATACCATATTGAGAGGGCACAGGAGTGTGGTGAGGTGGGTGGCCCTTGCTAACTCATGGATGGTGGGTAGAACCTCTCTAACACTCCCCTTCTCCCAGGTGGGCCAATGGTGTGGGTGAGGAGAAGCCACTGTCTGTGCCTCGAGATGCCCCCTTCCATCTAGAGACCTGCCCCCTCACAGCGCTGGATGCTCTGGGTAACAGCCCTGCCTGTCCCCAGACCACCCCCCTTCCCCAGCCTTGTAACTGTCCCCTCCAGTGTTCACTGAGCTGTGTGTTGTCCTTCCCCAGTCCTGCGCTTCTTCCTGGAGTACCAGTGGTTTGTGGACTTCGCTGTGTACACAGGCGGTGTGTACCTTTTCACAGAAGCCTACTACTACGCGCTGAGCCCAGCCAGGGAGGCCAACATTGCCGTGTGCTGGTGCCTGCTGGCTGTCGCCTTCTCCATGTGTCCTTCTTCCCGCTCCACAGGATGGGGCAGAGAGGCCACAAACCTCCCTGAACTAGCAGCCCTTGAATTTGCTCCCATAGGTCCTGGTCTGGGTGGGATTCAACTGGGATGACTCCTCTCTGCAATATGGGGGCTGTCTTGCTCTCTAGGTCTAGATACCTAAGAAGCAAGAGGGGATGCTGTAAGACTAGCCCACCCCTTTTCACCCTCCTTTGAATTCTTCAAAGTACAGATTAAGGGTGGGAGAGGTGGCTAGAAGGAATGCCGGCATGGTGTTGGCTTGTTATGGGGAGCTGGTCTAGAAGCCCACCCTAGCTCCGAAAGACCACCAATTTCTCTGAGGCCAGAGTGTTGTGACAGCCCTGTGAGCTGTGAGAGGCTTGCTTGAGGTGCCCTCTTAGAACTCACCTAGGATAGGCCAGGGGACCTGAGGGCACCTAAAGATGACTCTAGAGGGAAAGGATGCAGGACTGGGGGCCATTTGTAATTGGCCACGTCGGAGGTCTTGTTGCCCCAGTGACTGCCTCCTGATGCTGCCCTACCACCACACCTGTGCTGTGCCCATACCCCATCCACCCAGCTACTCTTCTCAGCCTCCTCCTGCACCCCCTATCTCAATCTTCTGGTGCCAGCCCTGGCCCGGTAGCCCAGTCCTCCCAGGCCACTGTTGGGACTGTCTGGTAATGGGGGTTGATGGGGATGGTGCACCTTGGCTGTCTGGACTTCCTTAGCTCTGCTCCCAGCAAGATGTTCCTGACAGTTACGAGGCTCTACTTCAGCGCCGAGGAGGGTGGTGAGCGCTCTGTCTGCCTCACTTTCGCCTTCTTTTTCCTGCTTCTGGCCATGCTGGTGCAGGTAGTGCGGGAAGAGACCCTGGAGCTCGGCCTGGAGCCAGGTTAGTGCATCCAGGTGCAGAGTGGGGATGATGAGGGACTTGTTCATGACCCACAACACCCGGGACTTACCCAGGATGCCCCCCAGGCTTTGGGTGGCAGCAGCCTGTGAGGCTCCAGGGACCAGATGACCTCTGCTTCTGATCTTTGACTACTCACCTGCAGCCACTGGCCCAGGGAACCCCTTCTGTCTGCTCAACACAGCAGCTATCATGGGGTCCTCATTTATTGTTGTCATTAGTTGCCATCAGTCCTTTCTGACTCCTGGTGACCCCATGTGTAGAGTGGAACTGCTCCATAGGGTTTTCAAAGCTGTGACCTTTCCGAAGGAGATCACCGGGCCTTTCTTCCTAGGTGCCTCTGGGTGGGTTGAACTACCACTCTTTCAGCTAGTAGTTGAGCACTTAACTGATTGTGCCACTCAGAGACTCCTAGTCATTTGTTTACTTATAATTTACATCTGAGAGGGAAGAGGTGAATGGTACAATTCATATAGGAGGGTATACAGGAAAGCCACCCTCCACACTGCTTCTCCATCCCAGAGACACCCAAGAGGAACACGTTCCTTTTTAACAGGAAATGGTAAGGTATACGATGTCCCTTGATGTTACATAGAATGACTTTATATTTAAAAAAAAGCTTCTCAGTATTTCCTTGTGTAGATTCTCCATGAGTATTTATCCAGACCCCTATTTATGCACACTTAAGTCTGTTGCAAGGAGCCCTGGCAGCAGAATGCCAGTCTGCTACCTGAAGGATAGGTGGTTCAAACTGGCCAGCTGATCCATGAAAGGAAACACTTGGCATTCTGCACCGTGCAAGATGAGCCAACTGAATCCACTGCCATCTATTCCATTCTGACTGGCTACCACCCTGGAATAGGGTTTCAGAGCCTGTAAACAGCCTGGGAGATCTTGCTTTTAAACAATGTTGCCCCCAGATGGTTTGTTTGACAACATTGTTTTATAAGAACAGCAGTGCCTGTTTTGTCCCTGTGCAAGAAAGTGCATTTGTCATTTCGATACTATTTTGAAATTTGCTCTCCAGAAAAAGATGTAGGACTGTGCCCATTTTCCTATGCCCACTCCAGGTGTTTCACCTTTGTCCTTTTTGCTTATCTGATGGGTGAGAATATGACTTTGAGCATCTTTTCATATGGTAAAGAGTCAATTTTGTTCTCTTCTTGGAAAAGTCTGTTCTTTGGCCCAGTTTTCTACTGAATTGTTGGGACCTTTTAAATTGATTTGAAGGAACCCCTTCATTGACTGTGTGGCAGCTGATTTTTTTTTTTATAGATTAAGGCTCCAGGGACCAGAGGACCCTGCATGTAATAGGAATTGTATAGATAGGAAATGTCTTTTTCTCAGTTTGTTGCTTTATCTTCGGACTTTCTCTATTCCTTGATTTTAAAAAAGCGTAGTATAGGTTGTTGTTGTTAAGTGCTGTCAAGTTGGTTCCAATTCATAGCGACCCTGTATAGGGTTTCCAAGGAGCAAGTGGCTGGTGAGCTTGAACCGCCGACCTTGGGGTTCAAACAGACCTTGCAGTCCAGCATATTAACCTGCATAGAGCCACACCAGGATACCTAAAATTTGCCATTTTAACCATTTTTAAGTGTTCATTGGCATTTATTCTCTTTACCGTGTTGTTACCACCATTATCACTGTCTGTTTCCAAAACTTGCTCATCATTCCAAACAGAACCTTAGTGCCCCATCTCCTCCTTCACCAGCCCATTCCTGTCTCTCTGTATTTGCCGCTTGTGGACATTTCCTGAAAGTGGAGTTATACGATAGGTAGTCATCTGTGACTGCTTCTTTTGCACAGCAGAATGGTGTCAAGGTTCATCCATGTTGTGTAGCATCCATAAGTGCGTCAGGTCTTTTATGACGGAGGCAAAATCCACTGTGTGGATGGACCATGTTTTGTGTATCTGTTTGTCTGTTGATGGACACTTGGGTCATTCCCTTTTTTTGTCTGTTGTGAATAATGCTGCAGTGAACATTGGTATATAAGTATCAGTTTGCATTTCTGCTTCCAGTCCTTTTGCATATTGTAAAAACATGGCACAGTGGTGGTTGCGTCAAACATAAGTTTCATAAGAGGGAGGACTCACCATTGACATCAGCCTGAGGTTGATTCCTGTGAGGTGGAGGCCAGACATACCTCCACCCTTCAACCTTTTACCAGTTCTGACAGAGAGGGCCCATGACACTTTCTATGTCTCTGCTAGGTTCCATGATTCATGGCAGTGACTACACAGAACTGACAGACCAGAGCAACAGTGAGGTTTTTTAGGGAAGTCAGAGTTACAGTTTAGGATCAGGAATGACTTGGGATACAGATCTTTGATCAGGACAGTTTCTCAATTGTGCCTGCAGGCTCTACCTCTCACTCTCTCTCTCTTCCCTTCAGCTCAGCCTCTGGCTGGCTTGGGCAAGTGTTACAAAGCTTTTTCTTTGTCAAGACATGCCCAGAGACAACCAATTCTGCCAGCAAGCCTCCTACCTGAAGGTGCTCAGCTCTCACCCCTTGGGCAAGGAAACCCACTGTGCCTTCTCATGTCTGCCTCCCGGTTCTGGCACTATTTCTCTGCCCCTTGCTTCTTGTCATCTTGCACCATCTCTAGTGTTATAGCTCGCTCTCTTTCTTCTGGGTGTAGGAAGTTCTCAGCACAGAGACCTTCCACCCCTGAGGAGAAATGCCCCACTCCTGGCTCTTTATTCAATTTCTCTTCTGCTCTGGAATTGGCTCTCTTTATAACTCAAGTAGGATGGCAAAAGTGGCCAATCCCTTCATTGAGGGGGGGGGGGTTGTCCTGTACACCTTATTTGCATAACCCCACCTCCACAGGATTCTGTGTACCTTATTTGCTTGGCTAGCAAGCTGTCTTTTCTCATTGATGGGCTACAACTATCTTATTTGCATGTTACTGCTGTTAGGTGGTGTCCAGTCAGTTCTGACTCCTAGCGAGCAACCTTACGCACAACAGAACAAAGCACTTCCCGGTCCTGCGCTGACCTCACAATCGTTTATGCTTGAGCCTGTTGCTGCGGCTGCTGTACCAATCCATCTCATTGGGAGTCTTCCTCTTTTATACTGACCCTCCACTTTATCTCCCATGATGTCCTTCTCTAGGAACTGGTCCCTCCTGATAATATGTCCGAAGTAAGACAGATGAGGTCTCACCATCCTGGCTTCTAAGGATCACTCTTAGACTGTACTTCTTCCAACACAGATTTGTTTGTTCTTTTGGCAGTCCATGGTACTTTGAATATTCTTCTCCAACACCATGATAGGTGCATCAATTCTTCTACAATGTTTCTTATTCATTGTCCAACTTTCAAATGCATATTAGGCCATTGAAATACCATGGCTTGGGTCAGCACACCTTAACCCTCAAGCTGACATCTTTGCTCTTGAACACAACAGCCAAAATATGACCTTGAACATATAGTTGTTGTTGTTAGGTGCCTTCGAGTCGGTACTGACTCATAGTGACCTTATACACAACAGAATGAAACACTGCCCAGTCCTGGGGCAACCTCAAAATCATTGCTACGCTTGAGCCCATTGATG